GAGCTAGGATGACGCCACGGCACTCTAGCCCAGGCAACACAGTGAGACTCTGTCTCAAAAAAAAAAAAAACTTTTCTTATCTCCCAATTCCAGCTCTGGGCAGGTAAACTGGTCTTCTTAGAGGATGGAGGCTGCAAGGTGGGCAGAAGCCCTGATTTGTATGGTTGCAGATTTCCGCGGCATAAACATTCCCACCATGGCAGATTTCCCAGCTACCCACATGACACTCCTGAACTTGGAGTTGGCTGAGATGGCAAATCCCATGAGCCTGTGCTATTCCTGCATCTCACACAAAGAAATCTAGCCAACCCATTTTATCCATTGCTAATATATTCATAAAGTAGCTCACGCGGGTAAATTGTTTGTGTTTTAACAGTCACCCTTTACAAACAATGTTTTAACCCAAAGGAATATTAATGGTGAAATTTGGGGCATCAGGCCAATCCTTCCCTAATGACATAAATTCATAACTATTTGAAGTTTTCTTGTTCTGTGACAAGAAACTCCCCAGGTTCTTAGACTCAAGATTTTGCAACTATACTACCAGGAGGCTGGAGAGTCATGAATAGCCATCCTTGTTAAAAGTGAGATTAGCAAGTATTAGAGACCTGATAAAACAGATTAACACCTAATTGAAGCTTTTAAGAATAATTGGAGGGAGAAAGTTTTGGTTGGGAAAAAAAAAAAAAACAGTGGGTACTTTGTGTTGGGAATAAATGCTTGAAGTTTTTCTAGTCACGTGCTCTTTGTAATCCATCTCCAAAGATTTGAGAGAACATTCCTCCTGGGACTCATTTAAGCATTCTACCAGCTAAAAAGAAAGATTAAGGATCTTTTGTATCAACCTGAAGTAAAACACTTTACATCTGTCCTCTGCTTTGTTTTTTTTTCTAGAGAGCAAACACCTTGAGAATAAAAAGAAAAACATTTTTCTTCCTACATGTCAGGTGACAAAACCCATAACAGATTTCATATGGATAAAACAGGGTTTCTCGGTCTCGGCACTATTGGCATTTTGGGCTGGATCATTCTTTACTATGGCGCTGTCCTGAGTATTGAAATGTGTTTAGCAGCATCCCTGGCCTCTACTCACCAGATGCCAATGGTATCTCCACCCTCCTATGCTACCCACTTGTGACAACCAAAACTGTTTCCAGAAATTACCACATGTCCCCCTCCCTCAGCTGAGAACCACTGGGGTATCATGCAAATATCAAAAAATAATCATGCAAATAATCTGTCTTGAGCATAACATGGTGATCTGACTTAATAAACTTAAATATTTTCAAAATTATAATACATTCCTATCCTCACTTTCTCTCTTGGGGGGGGCTTCTGAATAACAATGTGTGGGCCTATTCCATAATATATTACCACACGTGCAGATAAATAAGTACTTACGTTTGAACCGTAATGTAACTTTCATTTATCTAGATGATAAGAATTCAATATATTACATTTGTCAGCCTGTACAAAAATCCCTTGAATGCCAGGGGTAATGGCAATTTACCTCTTGCCTTGACCCATTCAGAAAAACTCTTTGCAAAAGTTGTCTTTCTAAATCCACCCAATAGATTCTTTCCTCGTTGTAATGGAAGTCCATGATCACCGAGGGGCCAGCATCTGCCACCAGTCGCTCGTGATTTGTTCCTTCCAAATCAATCCTAAAGATGCTGTTTCCATGGGAGAAAATTAAGAAGGGTGCAGGACCTGAGCGGAAAGAAAGAAACCAAGCTGTATATTTTCAATTCTTTCTCTGGTTAAAAAAAACAAAACAAAACTTCCCCATGACAGTTAATACGAGCAGAAATAATATTTAATTCCGGGTTTTATGTTTTAAATCAAGTCAGTTGTATAGAGAATAAAGAGTTTCTGTAGAGGTTCACAATCAATCAATCAATTTTATAAATTATCTTCTCCACAAACTGATTATAAGAACTGAGCATTGCCGAATTATGAAAAGTGAACTGCTGGAAGAGACAGGTGCTTTTTACTCTTATCTACAAAATGCCTTTTAATGTTCAAAAAGAAACCTCTCACTGCCCTATTATGGAAAGGATGTATACAGATGTAAATTTTAATTACATAAATTGGAACTGAAATTACTGATATTGTCATCTTGGACAGGGACTCCTCCCTCCGTAGTCTTACCCATGACTGGAGCCTTCAGGGTGGTGACGTCAAAGATGGTGAAAACTAAAGGGAGGTCTTAAGTGAAAGCAGGAAAAATTAAAATGCTGAATGTTCTGAAATAGTTAGACCCTGTTAGCTTTGCCACATAGAATGCAGGATGCCCGGCTAAATTTGAATTCCATATGTATTGCATGGGCCATACTTGCACTAAAAAATTATTCTCGATATACCTGAAATTCAAATGTAACTGCGAGCTCTGCATTTTTATTTGCTAAATCTAGGGAGTGGGCCTCACCGGATTTCTTAGTTCCCATAGGGCTTCCTGTGGTACCCTCACCCTATGGCTGGGGCTGATTCCTGTCCCAGGGGGTGGCCACCTACCCACTCTGACACCCCAATACTCCACATCTGCTTGGGAACCTGATCCCGTCTTTGGAAACCTCAGTACTAATCACTGGCAGACTCCACACAGAGCTTGCTTTGGTGCAAGAGGACTCCCGGGGGGGCGGGGGGGTTCATTCCCTGCAGTCAAATTAGTTTCCTTGGTCGCTCCTGACCACGGGTGAGGAGGCTCTGGCCACTCTGCCTTTAGAAAACGGTGGAATCACTGGGATGAGTAGGGAAGAAAGAGAATCCTAAGACATTCTTGCTTCCCTGCTGGGCATACCGTATTCTGCTTTAACATTAAACCTGAAGACCTTAATGGAATTTAATAGACATGTTTATTGTTCTAGGGAGTAAACAAAATGATGGATTAACATCCTCTTACTCAGGGATTATGTTCTAG